ACATGATTTTAATAAACACCTGCGGCAATAATATGGAATTTTTTCCGTCAGTGTATACATAGTACCTGCCGGATAAATATAAGTAATTTTGTTTGCAACGCTAGTATCGGATTAGAAACTAACATTATAATAAACTATGAAATTAATCGGATACTATTGGACTTTCTTCTAATATAAGAGAATAAGTGCGTTCTTAAATGCCTTAATCAATGATCGAAATGCGTCGAGAATTAACTTTTAATCAGTAGAAAATATTTTAATAGATTATCATTAAGATAAATAAAGTAAAACAGAGCATGTATTTATTTACTTTGAAGAAAAAATTTTAAAAAGCTTAGTAAGTTTATCATTTCGGTCAACAAACTTTTGTCCCAACCCATTTTTATACATTTTATTATGAATCATTGGTATCAACACTAACGTACTACTATTATTTTTTTATTACACGTCACTCTCGATATAACGGACTCCTGATATAACGGAGAATAAGTAAAATCTTGATATAATGGATCAAGATGCATAATAAATACTATATCTGATATACTTGATATAATAGATTTACTAATACTGTAATACAGTAAAACTCACGATAAAGCGGATTTTAAAAAATTCCTCATTATGTGCCCGAGGCACTACATTATATCGATAGTGACGTGTATTATGCTACATAGAATAGATAACAGCTACTCAAGCGTTGATTGAGGATCTATCGTAACTATAATTATTAGCAATACAGCTGACATTTTTATCAAAAATACGTATCGGTATAAGAATGCAAGAGTTTGGAACCGATTCGAATAAAACCGATTAAAAACGGTTTAACGTATGAAAATTAAAATCGTTTCCAAACTCTAACGCTAGTTTCGATTATAACACGTATGTACGTACGAATTTAAGGTGAGCTTGAGAACGCCTTAAAGTAAACAAGGAAAATCAGATAACAAACTTTATTATCGCTATTATTATTTCCTATTCTCTAGATAAGATGCTTCTTAGTCAATTACGTATAAATCATTAAATGCAGCAGTAAAATAACGTAGTTAGTTTTAAACATAAAGCATGCGTATTCATGTGAGACTAATTTAGAAAAAAAAGAGCAAAAACATGAATCAAATGAAATACGTACATTTTTAAAATTGATTTTATCGTGTATATATAAGGAAAATTTAAACTTACGCACGTACTAACCATCTAAAGTATTTCATTATTTATTAAGTAATTTATCTTCAAATTGCATTTTATAATTCATCACGTTCGTAACAATAGGTACAACCGAAATTTCACTAATTAAGAATGTTGGGTACGCATACGTGCGTGCGTGCCTACGTACGTACCTTCTTACATTATCACTAAAAAATATTGTATTTTTGTTCTTTTCAGTACATTATTTAATGCATGTGCATCTTTAATTACGTATTCCCGTGTATGCGAAACAAAGAAGTTCGATAGTAAGTTAGACGCCACGCTTCCAGGATCGATATACTCGATATACTAGTTCTACTTCCTAAATAGACACAAAAGAACTTTAAACAGTCATTATCGTTACACATTTTCCTTTTTTAATTTATTTCGTACAAGAAGTTTATAAACAAATGCTGTTGTAAGATTTTTATCAGAAATTCTTATACTTTTCTTTTTTTTTTTCTTATGTTTCTAGTTGAACTTTTTTACTCGTATTTATTCTTGTGTGATTTTCTTGTTTGTAAAAAAATCTCTTGGTCTCGTCTAGATAAAAATCTATTTATTTAAATAAACCAAATCATCTATATCATAACGAATATCATTAACCAGCGGGCTGGGTTATTTGATTTATTTAAAAAAATTAATCTGATAGTGAAAAAATTATATCGATCTAAGCGATCGATCTTATGAAATAATTTAAAAAAGAATTTGATTTATAATCATGTCTTCAAACGGAGGAACGTCGACTTCGGTGCAAGTTGGTAATTTATTGAATCGAATTTTATATATTTTATGATCGAAAATTTATTTAATTTCACGTTGAAAAAAGTATCAATAAAAATGTTTTAAAAATAACCAAGAAAATATGTAAACATTTAACTAATGTTTTTAATAAATTTTATATATTGATAGCACTCAGAATAAAACCGCTTACACAAGATGATTTGATTAATTTACCAGCAAGATTTCAACGTCAAGTTATATCAGTTTCTCCATTTAATCCAAATCAAGTAGTTGTTGATACGGAAAAGAGACAATTATTTCAATTTGATCATGTTTTTGCTCCTGAAGCTACTCAACAAGAAGTTTATGAAAGAGCAATCGGAAATATGATTACAAAATTTTTGGAGGGTGAGTAAAAAATAATTCGATTCGATTGAATGAGGATGAAATTCTGTTTTATATAGTATAATTAAATCTTTAAATTATCAATAATGACTACATTTATCATTAAAAAAAATCGACTCAATAGAATAAATGAAGTCATATTTACTTATACATTTAATTTTATAAATTTATTTTAGGTTATAATGTGACTATTTTGGCATATGGGCAGACATCTTCAGGAAAAACTCATACAATGGGAACAGCCGATGATCACAGTATACCTCCAGAATCAAAAGGAATAATTCCACGTACAATGGCAGCACTTTTTTCTTTGGTTAATTCTGGTCAATATAAATCTCATAAATTCTCAATAAAAGTTTCATTTATTGAGATTCATAATGAAGATTTAATTGATCTTCTTGGTGAGGGTAATGAAGAAGAAAGACCTCCTGTTACGATACGAGAAGATTCAAGAGGAAATATATATTGGACTGGGTTACAAGAATTAAAAGTTACCAATGTAAATGAAGTTATGGAGTGGGTATTTATATTTAATAAAGATAATAAAGATAATAAAGATTTAAAAAATTTTTTTTTTTTAATCCGCTAATTTTATTTCTTTTATAACAGCCATTTAGCGCATGGATCAATGAACCGACAGGTCGGCGTTACAGATATGAACTCTAAATCTTCTCGGTCTCATGCAATATTCTCTGTCACGATGGTACAACAAAAATTCATTCCTCATAATTACATTCCGGGAGGTCAATCTGTTACATCTCCACCTAATTCAAGACCTGGAACTCCTGCTTCATCAAGATTTGGAAGTCAACCATCTTCAAGAACAAATTCTAGTTTAGATAAATTTGATGATGGTGAATGGGTTACAATATCTAGTAAATTTCATTTCGTTGATTTAGCTGGAAGTGAACGTGTAAGTTATCATTGTCATGTTAAATATTATGTTAAATATTATGTTAAATATTATGTTAAATATTATCTTAAATATTATGTTAAAATTCGTGCTCGTTAAATTAAATAAATCTCACATTTACATCATATAATTTTTTTTTGCAGTTAAAACGTACTGCTGCAAGCGGTGATCGTGCAAGAGAAGGAATTTCGATAAACTCTGGTTTACTTGCTTTAGGAAATGTGATTTCAGCTCTTGGTGATCCTAACAAAGCAAGACATACCACTCATGTACCATATAGAGATTCTAAACTTACACGTTTATTACAAGATTCTCTTGGTGGAAATGCACAAACTTTAATGATCGCTTGTGTATCTCCAATTGAATATAATATGAATGAAACTATTAGCACTCTTAAATATGCTAATCGTGCTAGAAACATCAAAAATCTTGCTTCTGTAAATCAAGAAGAAGCGGGTTGGAATGATGTTACTCATTTACAAAATTTAGTTATGAAACTTCGAGGTGAAATTTCTGCTTTAAAAGCTGCAGCTGCTCAAAATGCTCAAAGATCTCAAGATGGTGGATCTGTTAGTCCGGAAAAAGTTTCTCAATCACCTTTTATTAGTGGTAATAAGCATTCTTTAAATGGATTTTCTGAAAAGAATATTCCATCTGCTAAAATTCCTGGAAGGAGTACTCCAACTAATGAATTTATTGGAAAGAGCTCTTCTACTGCTTCTGGAATACCAGGAAGGATGACTCCTACTACCACTTCTGGAATTCCTGGAAGAAATACTCCGGTTGGTGGTAGAGAAACTCCTACTAGAACATCACCGTTAAATACTTTTACACCTGGTAATATGAATGTAAATCAACAAAGAGATAAGGAAAGTTATGAGGCGTTAGAAGAACAATTATTACAATTGCAACGTTCTTATGCAGAATTATCTCAAAAACATGCAAAAACTTCGGCTGAATTGGCATTACATCAAGATAATTATGATGAGATAGAATTAATAAAAAATAATCATTCCGGAATAAAGTTAAGAGTGGTTACTGAACAAGAAATAGAACAGTATGAAAAGACAATATCATCACTCGAGAGTAAACTTGCAATTACTAGTGCAGCTTTAACTCATTCAGAATCTATTTTAAAAGAACAAGAAAATCGAATAGAAGGAGCTGATTCTACTAATGAACAAAATAAAGATTTAGTAGCCAGTCTCCAAAAATATATTAAAGAACTTGAATCAAAACTTCAACAACGTGAAATTGATGCACGTATTGCTGCATCCCGTGATAACCATTCTGAAAAATTCGTCAGTGAAACTATACAACTTTTGGAATCAAGACTTAAAGAGAAGGAAGAAGCCTACACTGAACTCGAAGAAAAATTAAATAATCTTCAACTTGGTGATTCTTCTGAATCATCTGGTAGTGATAAAATTACTAGGCTTGAAGCTAAATTGGAATTTCTTAACAATGAAGTCAATAAACTTAGAAATTTAGGTATCAAGTTGGGTACGGACGATCGTCCGGAAAATTAAATTACTATGTACGTCAATATCTATAGATTCCGCTGTAATTCAAAAAAAGAAAATTTAACGATGATTACTAATTAAAGGTTGGAACCGATTAACGTTAATATAAATTTAAAAATTTAAGTTAAATAGGTTTAATAGTAATTCTATTTGTAATCTTTTTAATTTGGTTATAAAACTTAAATAAAATCCGTGTTTTAAGCGCGTGTTGATTGACGCGTTTATTGTGTACAACCCGACTAACTTAAACAATGACGATAATCAGTTTCAATTACCGTTACGTGTAAATCAAATTCGGATTTTGAATTAACTGGTTTTGATCTCTATTAATTTACTGTTAAGATTTCTTTTTTTGAATTTATATTTAATATTAATCATTGTCAATGTATTAAAAAGTAATCAAAAAAAGTAAAAAAGGAATAATAATGATTACTTTATGTATTCTTTCTTTATTTATCTTTTTTTTTTTTTTCTCTTTTACAAAAAATTAAAATAAATTAAAAATACAAAATTTATTGCAAATAATATATCTATACACCGGTAAACCTAATGTTGTTATTGTTATATGGATTTTATAGAATCTTATACGAGATCTTCTAGTTGCTTGGTTTAGCCCATATGACTGATAATGCTTTATTTTTTATTTATTTTATTTTTTTTTAAGAGAGGTCTTTTCTCTATTCCTTTATTTCAAAATATATAATTGAATACAACTCTTACAAATTTATACATTTAACGAAAGGGAGTAGAAGTTAGGGCTAGGATTTACCCTCAACCTATTCTTAGCTAGAATGGTCAAAAAACCTCTAGACTGCATAATTAATGAGTGGGGATGTGGAATTATGGTGAATGAAATTGTTAAGCCATGTAATAAATTGTCTATCTAGTAAGCTAAGGGGATTGTAAATTTTAATGGGGTAATAATGACTAAAGGATTAGGGGTGGTTTGTTGTATGTATGTTCGACTTGGTTTCCATATCTCTTCATGTATACTTTTAGTAATTATATAGTATATTTGAGAAATTATAGTATTGTTTTGAGAGAGTGATCCTAGTTTTGAAAGTGTGGTTGAGTTGATAAATCCAATTGGGATTTGTTTTTGGATATGCATTATGATAAAGTCTTGTATGAAGTCCTGAGTTGGTGATATGTTTGTTTTGTTTGTTTGGCACACTTTAGTTATTGCTTTACATATAATTTCTTCAATATTCATTGGGTTATGTGGACATGTAAGTATGTGAACCATATTTTCTAGTATTTGCAAGCATTTTGCACAAAAAGGATTAGGATGTGTTAACAAGTTTCTGTGGTATAGATGTAAGTGAGTTGGCAATTCTGAGGTTAGTAGTTTTACTTTGAAAGTCTTCAAGGTTGATTTGGTAGAGCAGATATTTCGACTAAGTGGGTTATTCTGGTAATTTAAGTAGTTAAAGGTTAATTTCCAGTTGATGTTTGGGAGTTGTTTTATTATTGTTTTGATTCAGTTTTGTTTATTCCATTTGATAGTAGCTTTTGCTTCTTGAATGATTTTAGGTAGTTGATAAATGAAGTATGTTGTAAGAGTACCATTGATGCAAGGAGTAAAGTTTAAATTCAATACAGCTTGTGTTGAGAGGTTGGTTTGAAGTTGAAGATTTGGTGTTAGAATCTTGATTTTCTTTTCTACCAGGTTAGTGTTTATGATGTAGTCCTTGGCTAGAATAATTGTTCTTATTGTCGATATGATATTGTTAAATAGAATTTTGCAAAGGTGTTGTTGATGATATGATAGAAGATTAAGTATGAATTGAATTTTTGATTGAAGCTATCCTTTATTAGTTGTAATATTTATTTTGGTTTGAGGAGAAAGAATCATATAAATTATTGCTAGTGTTGTGAATATTGCATAGGTGTGTGATAGGAAGAATTTTTTTGTGATGTGTTAGGTTTGATGATTATATTGGAATAGAATCTGCGAGAATGAGGTTTTTATTTTGTCGGTTATGTTTATCTTTTTTGATTTGGCTGTAATATATATTTGTAGGTGTTTGGAAAAGCTAGAGTTGGTGTATAGTGTCCAAATTTAAGTTTTAATATTTTCGAATAGTTGTAGAAAATGGTATGTGGTTCGGTATTTTATTGTTGATAAGAGAAGGGGGTTAGATTGCATTTCAGAGAAGAAGAAGGTATTATTGAGCATAGTAGGTAGCTAAGTTGTCTATGAATTTGTTTTTTTACAATTTACTTGAATATTGTATATTAATTTTACTGAAACTGTGAAGAAACAGAATTTGGTTTTAAGTGAGTAATTTTTTTTTAGACAACCCAAACAAGGGATACGTTGTTTTGGATTAAGCAGGTGTTGGGTATAATGTTTAATTCTTGCTAGATTATTTGTTATCCTAGTGATTTTGCCAAATTTTTTAGAGTAAGTAATAATCTATTTATAGATATCTGGGTTAATTGGTATAAATATGAAAGGGTTAGGGAAAATTAGTGTAGTAGATAAGTTGAAGAATTCAATTATTTTCTTAGTAATATTTTTAAACTAGCTGGGGGTTTTTTCTCTAGTGATTTTTTGAATATTATAATAGAATGAGTGCTAATTTAAGATATGAGTGTTGACAGTACTACAAGAAGACCGAATTTGGAACCGGAAACTGAGATCAGAGAACCAAGCGACCAGGTCCTTAAGTGAGGGGACATACCAGCCGAACTGCCGGGTTGCCAAACCAGAGGAAAAGGACATGTGCTCTGAAAGCATGTACCAAGGGAAGGAAGACCATATAGACATCTAAAGTCTAGGTGAACCAACCCTTCCAGGTTGTAGCTGGAAGTAAGGGAGAGACGATAAAGAATCCAGGAAAGAAGGAAAGTTTGAATGTGGGTGCTCGGGTTGTGCGAACCCAAAACAAGGGCAGGAGTACGTAACAACTACTAAAATAGGAGGGTTGTGGTTTGAGATACGGATCAGGTTATGGCAGTATTCTAAAAGATAGCTCGAGATATGAAC